CACCAGAAGGCCCTCGCTGCTGGATCTCAGTGTCTGGGCTGAACGATGGGGGTGGAGACGCTCCTTCAGGTATACAGGACCGAGGCCGTTTTAAAAGATGGGAAATTAGTTAGGGGTTCCTCATGAGTATTTGTGTCTGGGATTTTGAGGCAGGGCACCTCTAAGGGTTCTGAGAAGACAAACCACTTTGTTGTGCATCTTAGTGTTTTGGCAAAGTTTCCTTTTGACAGTGTCTCCACCACCAAGTTCCCACTTGTGTGTTCAGTTCACATGAACATAAGAAGAGCCCTGCTGCATCAGACCTGAGGCCCTTTTAAGTTTACCATTTTTTTCCTCTTAGCAGCCAACCTGAGTGCAACAGCACTCTCCCCACTTGTAATTCCCAGCAACGGGCACATGGAGACACACTGCCTCTGACAGTGGAGGTAGAAGCCATCATGGTTGGTAGCCACTTAAAGCTTTCTCCTCCATGACTTCGTTTGATGAATGTGAGGACAAAGTGATATAGCCCTATGTGGCTTCCCTTTAATATATGTGTTCTGTGTGGTCCTTAGTTTTGTCTTTATCCTCCTAGTAATATGCTATGATTTGCTGCAGAGTTGGCCAGAATTGCATCATCTGTTGTGGCTGTGAGGATATACCAAGAAGATGTGAGAGTGCGGTCAACTGATTGCAACGGGTGTTTCTTACCTTCCACCATCACTTTTGCAGGCATAACGTTACACATTCCAGGAGTGAGCCGAGGCACTAGACTAGACTTTGCTTATTGATTCCTCTGCTCTGCTCACTTTCACCCGCTTGCCTTGGTGATGCATGGATGAGTGCCACAGGTGCAGAGGAACACAGAGCGTACGTCATGAGTAGGCTTTCTGTGTAAAAGCAGGAAATAGGTGCAAGGGATATAATAAGAAGAACCTACATCGTTTCAAAGACTTAAGTGCTGAGGAGGAAGAGGAATGATTGACACAATATTTAAAAGATGCATATTTTTATATCGAGATGGTGATATGAGGTAAAAATAGTAAAATTTAAATATCTGAGTGAACATTCAATTGAAGAGGTACAGTATCTTCTTATATCCAGGGGCACAATTTGTGTTCTACTTCTCCTGTGTTTCAGATGACACACGATTATTGCTCAGGAGCAGCACTTATCGTTCATCCTACTGGCCTGGTTTGCACATTGCAATAAACCACAGTCTTAAGGGCCTTTCTGCATTTACTGTTTACAGTGGCATAGTTGCTATTCATCCAATGTTTTTAAACAGTGAATTAGTAGCTGATTGTCCACACCTTTGGCTGCATGTGGCTGTTATTACTGAGTTTTCATTTTCATGCTAATAGTGAGTTGTGCTCAAATTGAGAAAAGTTCCATGGTTGTAGTCAAACCCCTTACATGCTCCTCCAGGTACTAAATGTTGGTGTTATAAGCATGCACATGGCAATAGCCCTTTCATGGCTTAAAAAAGAAATTGATGCCTAGTATTCCGGAATTCTGATTTTGTCTGCAGCTGATGATTGCTGTTATGGGCAGTACTTTGACTGAGTGCCATCATCTTGACCTGCCATATTTTTCCTATGAACTGAGCTCACAAACAGATAGCTCACACCGGTCAGAGGGAAGCAGCGCGAAACAGATGTCTCCAGACTATGCACACCAACTCTCCAACCCCTCCACACAGAAACCAGGATAATGATTGTACACATGCTGCATAAATGAAAATGTTGAGGATCCATTTTGGATATTAAAGTAAGGGTTTTTGTTGTTGTTTTTAACAGTAGCAGAAAAAGTGGGGGTTTTTGAACACATTATTCCTGAATACTAGCTAAATAATGATGTTGTTGTGTGGCAGCATACTAAAAATCCCTAATCCCGAGCTATAAATAGTAAGTGTTGAAAGGCCCTAAACAAATCATGGCTTACATGAATGACTGGTGGGCTTGTACATGCTGCTCAGATTCCACCCTCTGTTCAGATTGTGCCCGCCCTGTCCCTTGCTTTGCTGAGTAAGGAGGAAACAAACTACAGTGTTCACTTAGTGTTATGTGCAGACCAGCACTTGTGTTTTGTTTCTGTGCAAAGAAACCGCAGGCAGAAACCAAGAACAGACGCTGCTAATTCACTGTAAGCCATTGTTTGTTTCTAAATATGATTTAGTGTTATGTGCAAAGCTATGGAAATTTAACTCCTTTGGGTTAAATAGTGTGTGTGCATGACTGCTTGGTCTGAATATGTGTTGATGATCGGAAGGTCAGCAGTTCGAATCCATGTGGCAGGGTGGGTTCCTATTGCTCTGTCCCAGCTTCTGCCAACCCAGCAGTTCAAAAGCACATCAGTTCAAGTAGATAAATAGGTACTGCTGCAGTGGGAAGGTAAATGGCGTTTCCATGTGCTCTGGCTTCCATCACAGTGTTCTGTTGTGCCAGAAGTGGTTTAGACATGCTGGCCACATGACCTGGAAAGCTGTCTGTGGACAAACACCAGTTCCCTTGGCCAGAAGCGAGATAAGCACCGCACCCTATAGTTGCCTTTGACTGGACTCAACTGTCCAGGGGTCCTTTACCTTTACCTTACCTGATAGTATTATTATAATCATAGGATGATGAGCCATACCTAAAGGAGACCATTAAAATGTCCACTGATTCCAAGGGGTCTATGGTACTTTGAGTATGACTAATGCTAGATATCATCCATTAAAATACAGTGGTACCTCGGGTTAAGAACTTAATTTGTTCCAGAGGTCCGTTCTTAACCTGAAACGGTTCTTAACCTGAGGTGTGCTTTCACTAATGGGACCTATCGCTGCCACTACACCGCTGGTGCGCCATTTCTGTTCTTATCCTGGGGCAAAGTTCTTAACCTGGAGCAACTACTTCCTGGTTAGCGGAGTTTGTAACCCGAAGCGTCTTTAACCTGAAGCGTCTGTAACCCGAGGTACCACTGTATAGTAAAAATGTTCTGACTGTATGCTGCCTTTTTGCGATTTAATCTTGAGCACAGCAAAGAACAGCAGCTCTAAGTAGCTTTGTGCATCTTCCTTCCTCTACTGAGATTTCTTTACCCGCCTTCTTCCCCCACCATTGGAACGGTGCCTCTGTGGATGTCCCTTTGCTAGTGACATTTAAACAAGACTAGATGAGCCAATACACTATTCTGCTGGAAGAAATGTTGTTTCAGCCCTAGAGAGCTGGATTGCTTTGGCACAAACAGAGTGCCACTGTCTCCAAAAACAACCTAAGAGGGTGCTGTGAAGCAAGAAAGCAGCTGTTAGAGAAAGGCACACAGCAATAAACTTTACGAGAGAAAACTTTCCTCACTTTCACTATGATCATATCTAACACCCTTCTCCCAATCCCCTTGCGCATATAAGTGCATACAAAGGCACTATCTTAACTAGAGATGGGGGGGGGGATTCTCTTTGCTTCACATTTTAATGCACATCTGCCTAATTCACAGTTCCTGAAACAATATGCAAACTGAAACACAGCTTTCATTCAAAATTCATGATTGTCTGAATTTTGTGAACTGTTCAAAAAATGTGTACGTTAAGGGAAAATATGCATGAAATTAATATATTCATGAAAATAACCTGCAAAAATGCACCCTGTTCAGCAAAATTGCCAGCAAAACTGTGTGCGTTAGACAAGAGAACAACAACTACCAGACTTTTAGAAGATGTCTGAAGGCAGCCCTGTTTAGGGAAGCTTTTAATGTTTGATGGACTACTGTATTTTAATGTTTTGTTGGAAGCCGCCCAGAGTGGCTGGGGAAGCCCAGCCAGATGGGCTGGGTATAAATAAATTATTATTATTATTATTATTATTATTATTATTATTATTGCATACAGAAAGGTGTATGCTAGGAGAATTTCACAGTTAAATCCTCACAAATTTCCAAGAAGACTTTTTATTGTAAAAAAATGGCAAACTGATGCAGAAATGCAGAGAACTGAATTTAAGGTTGGAAAAATGAGAAACCGAGAGAATCTAACATTGACATGGTTGTCCATCCGAAATTTCAATACGTGTTTAATTATTTTGCTTCGCATAGTGTGTAGTGGTGAAATTTGTACCTGCAGAGGCATTATGTGGAGGGGCAAAACTGTGCTGCCCCACTGTGTCTGTCCTTCTATTCCTTTTCCTAAAGTGGTTACTAACACCGCCTAAAACATGCAGGTACCCCATATAGTTCCTGCATGTGTCTCCCCGCAGGGCAAATAGCTTCATAGGGGTACTTTAGATAAGACAAACAGCACGGGGGGGGGGGGGGGTTTAGATCTCTTAGATATTGTCAAGAGCCAAACAGCGCATAAGGGAGAAGATTAGAGCTAGGTGAGTTCCTTGCCTGAGATTGATGTAGAAATTAACTGAGTTGTTTACAGATATGATGGCTTGTTTTTCTAACTAATTTAAGGCTTGGTAAACAGGAAAGAGGGTGGTCTGTGCCTCTTGCTGTTGTCCTGGCACTTTGCATAGCAGCATGCCTTGCCTGCAGAGCTGGCAGCCTCTCACCCTTTTTCAAAACCCTCCCTTGTGGAGTGTTCTCTCAGCCTCCTCTCCTCTCTCCTTGGGAATCCTCTGGGCAACTGCGACCGCCACTCCTGGTCTCTGAGCTGCTCTCCCTCCCTGCCCCAAAGAGAAGTGGCTTCCAGAGACACCATTCGCCTGCAGAGCTTGTAGCCAGGGCTGCTGCAATAAGCATCTGTGCAAGCCTTTGGGAGGCAGAGACAGGAGAGGGCGTCAGAGGAGAGAGGGAAGGAAAGAAGTCCAGAGGCCCAGTGTTACCCGCAGCACCCCTGGCCATCATTCAAGGCACCTCAGGGTGCCACGGCACCCTGGTTGAAAACTACTCGTCTAGAATCTGAAAAATTCTTTCTGATCTCTACTTTCAAGTAGCCTTGTGAGAAAACGATTTGTATTCCTGGGTTTTATCTACACAGCATCGTAAACTCGTCTATTGGAATTTACTACTTGTGACAGCAAAAAATGCAGCCAAAAACAGAGAGAGGTAAGAGCCAGTGCCAATTCCACCTGACCCAACTGCTCACGCTGTTCTCCCTGCGCGGCTGAAACGTGGTCTCAGAAATACTTGCTGCTTTCCAGGTGTGAGGCCTGCAGGGAGCTTTCATTTGAAGACAACATGGCTTACTACATTTTGCACACAGTGTAATATTATTAATATACCTCCTCTCCAAAAGGGGGAAGGGTACAATGATAATGAATGTTGCTAATATCACAGTGCATCCAAGGCAGGTTTCTAGCAATGGTGGCATTTCTTTAGAACCCGAGAAACAGGATTCTTCTGCAAGTGTGAGGTGAGAACATAAGAAAAGCCTGCTGGATCAGGCCACTGGCCCATCTAGTCCAGCATCCTGTAATCACAGTTGACAACCAGATGCCTATGGGAGGCCTGGAAGCAGGACCTGAGTGCAACAGTACTCTCCCCTCCTGTGATTTCTAGCAAGTGGTATTCAGAAAGAAGCTTCTTGCCTCTGATAATAGAGGCAGAGCACAGCCATCATAGCTAGTAGCCACTGACAGCCATATCTTCCGTGAATTTGTCGAATCCTATTTTAAAGCCATCCCAGTTGGAGGCCATCACTGCCTCTTTTGGGAGTGAATTTCATAGTTTCTTTTGTCTATCCTGAACCTTATAATAAAATGTTCTTGCTCTCAAGGTATTTCAGCCTCCAAGCATGGAGTTTCATCAGTAACAGGCCAGTTCTAACACAATGTTTTGCCTGCACAGGATGATTAGTAGGGATGTGTACCCTTGCAAAAAGCTGGTCAAAATGCATCATCCATGTCAGTTGGTGTAAAAAGGATGACAGGCCACCTGGCATGCCGATATAATGAACTTCTTATAGTATCCTGGCACCACTTGTTCAGGATTGTGCCTCTACTTCTTCCCATGTGCTGCCAATCTGAGTGCCACTCCCCCACCCCATCCTCCCTCTGCTTTGGACAGTGGGAGAAAGAAAATGTCCATGGTGGGGAAGGTGTATGGGCACAGAAGCGGCACAGTGCTCTGGAGCCCCAGGTGTGAGAGAGGGTGTCCTTGTAGTTCTGTGGCCATGGTGGTGGAGATTCAAACTCCACCTACAGGAAGTCTTTCAAATTGCCAGGGAACTCTCATAAAACTGGGATGGTTGCAGTACTATAAATTTGACTGACTGATCTTATAGTCCACTCTTTACCAAATGGTCCCAAGGTAGGCTACAAGAACAAAACAATATTAAAACAGGTACAAATTTCATTAAAATCATAGAGCAAAGCCGCAAAATTAGCCAGGTAGCAAAATAGCTGCACTGAACAATAGTGCAGGAGAGAAAACATCCTCTCAGCCAAAGATGTGGGTAAAAAGTACATCAAAAGGCGTACAGTGATGGCACAAGACAGCACCTTGGAGGGGAAGTTATTCCACAAGCTGGGGGCCATTACAGAGAAGGCCCTCTCATGCCCCTCAGAAAACAGATGTGGCAGGATGGTTGAGGAGAAGAGAGCTCAGGCCTTTAGCTCTGCTGCTGGGAGACAAGGATGAGCAGGAAGAGGAGCCTCTTTGACCCTTCCACTCCATTCTGGAAGCCAAGGAAAAGAGAATCCAGGAGGGGCAAAGGAGAAACCAGGGCAGAGGCAGCTATGGGTAGTAGGCAACCCCCCATAAACCCATTCCCTGCCAGCTGCTAAAGAACTCTCCAGACTGGAGAAATGTCTGTGGGAGAAAGCAAAGCATGCATATTTTCCAGATGTGGAACACTGCAGGGGAGAGGGAGACTAGTAATGGAAATTGAAATGCAAATTCTTTTTCTGTGTGGAAAAGGCCCAATAAATCAGGAGTGACAGGAACACAAAAGACACCATCAGGAAGCATTTGCACAATCAAGGGATGCTTCATATATCAGAGAGTACTCAGGCTGTGCCTCCATGCTGCAAATAAACCAGATTCATTGCAGAAGGAGCAGTCTCTGAATTCTCCCTGTCTGAAGAGCAAAAAAAAAACATATTGTGTTCCATTTCAGTCAGACTTAGCATGTTTTCTAACATAAACAGGATCGTATTTAAAGGGCCAATTTGAAAGAAAACAAGTCAGTCTGACTTCTGGAACTCCTTTATAGTGAAAGAGAATTCTAGGAATAGAAGCTGCTCTTGCGAGGCTCCCATATAAAATGGAAATGCAGGGCTTCTGAAGAAGGGCCCAGCTGAGGAAGCGAGGGGAATATAGAGTCATTTGGGGGCAGGGGGGTGTAGGAGCCAAGGATTAGAAATGTATTGTGACAGCTCTCTAGACTGTGTATCTGTCTCCATTGCTGTCCCTTGATATTTCATCCAATGCTTTTTATGCTCAGGCAAGAAACCCTGCCTGTTATGGGAAGCTGGGGCAAAGTGCGGAAAAGGATGGATTTGGAGAGCAATTTGTCCTTTGGCCGCTGCTGAAAAGGCTGATGATAATTACCTTTTTCTGGGTACTTACGCTTCACTTTTATGGCTGGCCAGCACTGGAGGTGACTAAGGAATTATCCTGACTTGCTTGCTGCTCATAGATCCTTTTGCAATCTCTGCCAGTTAATAAAGAAGCACTTGCAGGGAGAGGGTTATCCAGCATTAGCACTAACAATTGCCAGGCCTTTAAAGAGAAAAAGAAAGAAAGAACGATACAGTGGCGTAAATTCTGTAACTATTGGTAGGCATTGCTGCTATTATGAGGCAGGCAAAGTAACAGCAGGACAACTTCAGCTGTGAGGGCCTGAGGTTTATATAATGGGAATTCCATCGCTTCCTTCAGGAGTACATTCTCCAGAGTATTTTGAAAACAGAATGAAGTCAAAAAGGTATGCTACCACAGACGTTTGGAAGCTGGGTTTGCAAAAGTGTGTATGTTTTCGTATGTGTGGTCTATTCATGGAGCAGAGATTTGGCAATTAGATATCTACAACACATTCAGGTAAAGAGAACCAGTGTGGTGTAGTGCCTAGTTGCAACATTGAGTTAGATATGTGAAAGCTAAATTCATATCTGCAATCAAGAGTGGCATTTCCTGGGTTGCCTTGGACATGACATGGCAGCCCAGATCAGTCATCAGAGAATCATGTACAGTGGTACCTCTGGATGTGAGCGGGATCCGTTCTGGAGCCCCATTCGCATCCTGAAGCGAACGCAACCCACGTCTGTGCATCTGCGCGTGTCGTGATTCGCTGCATCTGCGCGTGATGTAATTTTGAGCGTCTGCGCATGCACGAGTGACAAAATCCGGAAGTAACACATTCCGTTACTTCCGGGTCGCTACGGAGCATAATCTGAAAACAGTCAACCTGAAGTGACTTCAACCCGAGGTATGACTTTATTGGACTTGCACGCTTCCTCGTCCTCCCTTCATGCACTTCCTCCCTAACTTCCTTGTTTGCAGTAACAGTTGTTTGCTGTTATGACCAAATCAGGCAAACTATGGTTACTGCAAACCATAGTTTGCCTCCAAACCAGAAATAGAAACTTAGGTAGTTCACATGTGGCCTAAAGTTCTGTTTTGGAGGGAAAGTATAGCTTATGTGACCATAGTTTGGTCAATTGGGATGTCACAGCAAGCTACAGTTATAAGGTTCAAGAAAATAAAAGAGGGAATTGAAGTGCACGAAGGGAGGCAAAAGTGTATGGACCTGAGGAACAGCTCAGTATTTGACCATGACATCTGAAACAGGCCTTTCAACCTAAGCTACACCAAAACATTATGGATCTGACTCTGACCAGCTACTGTGAAGAGTTTGGTGGAAGGGTGGATACCCAAATCAGCTGAGGTGCTACAAATAGAGCAAAGTTTGATAGGTATAGCACCTGTGTTCACAGAACTTAATTTAACCAGTGTAACTAGTGAATCCTTAAAGCTGGGGTGGCTAACCTGTGGCCCTCCAGTTTTTGTCGAACTCCAACTCCCATCAGGTCCAGCCAGCATAGCCAATGATCAAGAATGATGGGAGTGGTAGTCCAACAACATCTGCACAGGCAAAGGTTTTTTACCCTCATTTTGATGCATTTTAAATTAAATCACCTTCGGGAAACCAGCTGCCTCAGAGTGCTATGAGAGCAACACACATTCTCTAGAGCAATGGTAATTTGGATGTCATAGTTTTCTGCCTTCTGTGGTCCCTTGATATCAAAAGCATTTGCCACTACCTTGGCATGACAGCACTCTTTTAAAGCACTTTATGTTAAAATAAGTTTGTTTTATTGGCATGCTATAACTTTTTAAAAAACAAACAAACCTTGTAGGGATGCAACTCATGATTATTGGAACTTCTGTGACCTGTGGATTTTTTCTTCCACCTTGAATATTAATTTGTGAGAATTGAATCTTAAGTCATACAGTATAGCTTTCGTGTCTTGAAGACAGGCTCAGTACTCAGAAGAGACTTCTTACCACATAAGAAATGTGCGCTAAGAAAACATTCACTTAGTCATTTGTTACTCTTGACCCCAAATCACAATTCTTACGCTCTTCTAAAAGAAACTAACATTCCTGAATATATGCAAAGTCACATTTGTCACTAATCCCATCTGGTTGTACAATATATCGCATAATTGCTGATGCTGTGTGGTGGGGTACATGTGTCTCTTTCTTTGAAAGCCAAGTGCGTATGCAGCAAATTTCGGTCTATTTTGACAGATATACAGTGCATCATTTCTTTTTACGCACATTCAAAGAAACCTCTGAAAGGCGACAGTCAGGAAGCAACAAAAAAGAAGAAGACATATTCAAGATACGTGTGACTGCCAGTGGAGGAAGTACCTTGGCAAAGGAGGGGACCTCACTGAAAATGGTCTTAAATCCTATGAAGACGGGAGCTTTGTAAATGACAGCACAGCCCACATGATAATTACTGCACAGCAGTTGAAGCTGGGAAGTATGTCTGAAAGGTCAACAGGACCAACCGGACAAAGGAAACAGAACTTGGTTTTGATCATTTAAAAAACAAAACGAAAAGGCACCATAACCCCACATGCAAATTAGCAAACGTTTTCGACCCCCCTCCCTGGTTACCTATTTTGAAATACCTGATGTCACACAGGTGGGAAAGGGAGGGAGAAGAGGAGGAGAAATGGCTTATCAGCCTTGCACAGTGTTGGGTTTTGAATGTACCCCTGGCACCGACTGCCCAGCAAACTGGCCTGACTTGCAGCTGTCAGCCAAGCCGGCAGCGGTCGCCTTGGCAACACTTTTATCAGTTCCTGAGGTAGAAGGAACTTTGGGCCTCTGACTGGAGATTTGTCACATTCCATGATGGCCTACAGTGTTCAGACTCTGAGGTGGCTCAGAGGATGGGCTGCTCTTTCCGGAAAAGACTTGGCAACAAGGCTTGTGTGTGTGTGTGTGCGTGTGTGCGCTTGTGTGCTTTCTGTCTAACAATTTATGGGATGTGGTTTTATTAGCTGCATCTTTGCCTGCACCATGATTATATAGATATATTAGCTGGCCACCCTTAGCCACTTTGCGGGAAAGCATTCTGCAAGGCACATAACCTGGTTTTGCTTCACCCTTTCTTGACAACAACAGTCTCCATTTTGAGATGCCTGATCCAAAAGAATGTCATAGTTCAGAAATCCTAAGGATTCCTAAATATTCTCTATAGGCAGGACTTGTCCTTATTAATGCATTGCAGTGCGAGTATTTTATCTCTTTTGTAGTATTCATGGTTTTACATTTTATTGGGTCTTAAATTGCTATTATGTGCTGCTTTTTACCTTGTCAAGTTGCTTTGAGACTTTTTATTGCATAAAGTGACTGAAAAATGTAATTATTATTATATAATTATAGGTTTCATTCAACTAAGTCCTGCCTGGAGTAGGCCCATTGAAATTAATAAACCTGAGGAAGGCTTTCTTGAACCAACAAAGCCTGACACATCACAATACATATAAATAGTACTTTAGGTCTCCCAATTATTTATCTTGGACAGTGGTTGGGCTGTAGTGTCTATAGTTTCCTTGATTCCCTCCACCAACTCCTTTTGAAAAACAGTAATCTGGTTCTCTAGTAACGAGGGTATTTTTAGTAGTATTGGGTTTGGATGGATTTTGAGGTGAACTATGGTGCCTCAGAGGAATTTTATTATTATTATTATTATTATTATTATTATTATTATTTTGCTTTTGAAGCATTTTGTAGAATCTCAGTGATCCAGACATGGGGGGGGGGGTGAGGAGGAAATGCTGCAGGAAATGCAAATTTCATGCTCTTCTGTCAAAAGAAAAAAGTTACAGCCATTTTTTAAAAAAACCAACAGTGATTGGGGGAGTGAAAAAGGAGCCTTGAATGGGCCCCAAGTTCATGAAGTGCCTCAAGTGAAGGCAGGCTGTTTTCCAAATTGCCAAATTGTCTTTGGTAATTGTTGTTGTTGTTGTTAAGGAAAGTGGCTACTACTTACTAGCAACTGTTCTAGTTAAATTATTCCAGGGCCAGCCTTACAGATATATCCTCTAAAAACAAAAATAGCATTTTGTTTTGAAATATTGCCAGTTCTATATATTGAACCATCTGGATAAAATGAATTAGAGACTGAGTGAATGCACTAAAAGATGCTGAAGAGAAGTAAGGATTTAAAAAGGATCTGTTGGGCTTCTTGAAAAGGGACTCCCTATTCACAAAGCATATTCACCTTCTAAAATGGGAACCTCAGGAATTCCTGAAAGATGAGTTCCTATTCATAAGGAATATTCTAACATTTGAACGATTTAAAATATTTATATCCTGCCTCTTAATCATACTAATTCATCACACTAATTCTTTGTGACTAACAAGCATAAAATTACTCTCCTTCCCATACTGTTTATTTATATTAAATATTTTTATGCCACCTTTCTGCCACGAGCGGCTTTTGAAGTGGCTCTCAAGAAAATAAATATATATCACAGCAGTAAAAAAAAAAGTTACAGCAGTGAATAAAATTAAACCACATCCCTAACCAGCAGTAATAGCAAAGCAAAGTAGAAACAGCAGCGACCTTAAGCACAAACAAACTCCATTAAAAATATTCCTGAATCACAACCTATTAAGAAACAGCTGGAATAAACAGAACAATCTTCACCTGGTTCCTGAAAGGTAGCAAAGCAGACACCTAGTGGATCTTCCTTGATAAAACGTTTCATAGTCAAGGCAATTAGTCAGATTACCAATGTTACTAATTAGTCTGGTTACTAATGGGAGTTATTATATATTATTGCATAACAATAATAACTCCCATTAGTTCATATTTTGAACCAGCTGAAGTTTCTGATAATTTTTCAAAGTCAGTCCTACATTTGCATAATACATTGGCACAGTTATACTAGGATGTAGATGGGAAGGTCATTTCTTTGCAGTTTGGCAAGCCAATCAAAGTTGGGAAAAGCAATCAGAAGAGGAATAACATACCAAGTGAGGTGAACTGGAGGCATCCCAAAGTGATTTACAATAGATAACACATACATGCACCCCACATATAAAAAAAGCTTACACGATTGAATATATATAAAAAATTAAACAGTTACATACATTAAAACAGTCTAAAACAACAATAGCACATACAAAAAATAAGTTGAAATCCAGTACAGGTAAGGAATTCTTATGCTCACTGCCTAGATCCAGCTCCACTGAGAGCCAGTGTGGTGTAGTGGTTAAGAGCGGTAGTCACGTAATCTGGGGAACCGGGTTCGCGTCCCCACTCCTCCACATGCAGCTGCTGGGTGACCTTGGGCTAGTCACACTTCTTTGAAGTCTCTCAGCCCCACTCACCTCACACAGTGTTTGTGGTGGGGGAGGAAGGGAAAAGGAGATTGTTAGTCGCTTTGAGACTCCTGAAGGGGAGTGAAAGGCAGGATATCAAATCCAAACTCTTCTTCTTCTCTTCTTCTGCTAGTTGAGGTGAAGGAATTTGCAATTTAAATGCTACCAAATCCAGGAAATGCAAACTTCAATTGATCCTTACATTAAAATTTTACTCAACACCTTCATTCCACTTTATATTAAAAGAAAGTTGACAACTGTACTGAATTATTCTGGAAGCATTTCTGCTTAGCATTATTATTAGAGCTTTTCTACCTACATGTTTAGGAACTTTCCTCCTCACTCTCCCCACCCAACACCCAGGATTGCCAGTTTCCTGGAAAAATGTTGTAGATCAATAAGCGGTAGATGTGGGATAAAATGCATAGCAGTGAGATGAAATATATGCTTTTAGAAACTTAGTAGAGAGGTATATTGAATTGTAGCCCTAATTAATGATGGTAAATTATAAAGGCTAATGTGTATGCATTTGAAGGTCAAGCTAAATAATATTTATGTACCTATTCTGCCTCTGCTGACAGAATTGGGAAATAAGGGGAATTGGGATTACACTTAAACTGGAACCAAAGTTATTTGCTGGCCTGTGGACCATGTTGCCAATTTTAAACTGGTCAGTGGCCTGCAGTCACACAACATACTGGACATCTCATGAGTGTGCCTGTCTAATGCATGACAGTCTCTCTCTTCCCATATACCTTTTCTTTGCCTACCTTCTTGGTTGAAATCTGAATAGAGCATCTCAAAGCATTATCTGCTCACGGAGATAGAATACGATTTCATATCCTA